AGCCTGGCCAACATGGTGAAACCTCGTCTTTACTAAAAATACAAAAATGAGCTGGGTGTGATGGTGGGCATCTGTAATCCCAGCTACTTGGGAGGCTGAGTCAGGAGAATTGCTTGAACCCAGGAGGTGGAGGTTGCAGTGAGGGTGAGATCACGCCACTTGCACTCCAGCCTGGGCAACAGAGTGAGACTCTGTCTCAAAAAAAAAGAATCTAGAGTTTGTGGCAAATGTAAGACTTGTAAAGCCAATGAGAAAAATGCCTTTCTTTAATAAAGCAATAATATCGTTTGTTGAACAAGGCAAGTTTAATGTCAAAGTCTGCATCTATAGGAATATTTCTTTTTTTTTTTTTTCCAAGACAGAGCCTCACTCTGTCACCCAGGCTGAAGTGCAGTGGCATGATTTTGGCTCACTGCACCTCCTCCTCCCAGGTTCAAGCAATTCTTGTGCCTCAGCCTCCCCAGTAACTGGGATTACAGGCATGTACCACCACACCCAGCTAATTTTTTATATTTTGGTAGAAACGGAGTTTCACCATGTTACCCAGGCTGGTCTCGAACTACACCTGAGCTCAGGCAGTCTACCGGCCTCGGCCTCATAGAATGCTAGGATTACAGGCGTGAGCCACGGCACCTGACCAGGAATGGTTTTTTAAGTTTAGTGAACCTAAAGACCACCTGGTGATGTTTGTTAATCATGTAGATTCCTGGACCCATCCCAAGGTATTGAAATTCAGTAAGTCTGGTATGGCACTAAGATATCTGCACTTTTGTAAGTGGGTAGTCACCACTTCAGTTGTATCAAGGTAAAAGAAAGTTTGGGCCGGGTGTGGTGGCTCATGTCATTAATCCCAGCCTTTAGGAGGCCAAGGTGGGAGGATCGCTTGAGCCAGGGAGTTTGAGAACAGCCCGGGCAACATAGCAAAACTCGGTCTCTACAAAGAATAAAAAAAATTAGCTCTGCATGGTGGCACACACCTGTAGTCCCAGCTACTGGGGAGGCTGAGGTGGGAGGATTGATTGAGTCCAGAAAGTTGAGGCTGTAGTAGCTGTGATTATGCCTCTGCACTCCAGCCTGGGCGACAGAACTAGATCCTTTCTCAAAACAAAATAAAATAAGAAAGTCTACAGACGGGAAATGACCACTAATTTAAACTTCCTTCTCTTTCTTTCCTTTTTTTTTTTTTTTTGAGATGGAGTTTTGCCTTGTCACCAGGCTGGAGTGCAGTGGCGCGATCTTGGCTCACTGCAACCTCTGGCTCCCAGGTTCAAGTGATTCTCCTGCCTCAGCCTCCAGTAGCTGGGACTACAGGCGTGTGCTACCACTCCCAGCTAATTTTTGTGTTTTTAGTAGAGACAAGGTTTTACCATGTTGGCCAGGCTGGTCTCGAACTCCTGATCTCATGACCCACCCGCATCGACCTTCCAAAGTGCTGGGATTGCAGACATGAGCCACCGCGCCTGGCCCTCCTCTTTCATTTATACAGATATGTACTAGCTTTAGATGAAAGAAATATATAACCTGTGTGTACATTTTTACATATATTTTTCAGTCTGTAGGATTATATGGGACATACCCTTAAGCAAGTAGCAGATGCCAGGCTGATCAGCACCTGATGTTAAGCGTGTGACTGTGTTTTGTCATAATTATTTATTCACATGTCTTTGTGTCCCAGCACCCTGCACAGTCTCTCAAACAGATTATACTTTGAAAACCCTTTTGAATGATCTATGGGAAAGTAGGTTTTCTTTTTTTTTTTTTTTTTTTTTTTTGAGACGGAGTCTCACGCTGTTGCCCAGGCTGGAGTGCAGTGGCGCGATCTCGGCTCACTGCAAGCTCCGCCTCCCGGGTTCCCGCCATTCTCCTGCCTCAGCCTCCTGAGTAGCTGGGACTACAGGCGCCCGCCACCGCGCCCGGCTAATTTTTTGTATTTTTAGTAGAGACGGGGTTTCACTGTGGTCTCGATCTCCTGACCTTGTGATCCGCCCGCCTCGGCCTCCCAAAGTGCTGGGATTACAGGCTTGAGCCACCGCGCCCGGCCGAAAGTAGGTTTTCTTTATAGCAATTCTGTACTCCTTTGTGGTTCTGTGTAGAAAAGTCGTACGGGTGATTATATGGGCCTGGAGTGGTCTTTGTGTTGTAGTCTTTGATATACTTCATATCATGCTTGGGTATCTTTATTATTTAAGGATTAAAATATCATACATGACACATGATTATATTCATTGCTTGAGACTCAGTATAAATTGTGGTATTTGTATACAGAATTTGATAATAGTTCCTTTAGGTTGGGGTTAGCTTAAAATTTACCATGTTTTTATCTATGAGCCAAGATTTGTTTGGCATAAAGGAAACTAACGCTTTAAATCTCTTTTTAAACCACTTTTATCAACAACTCTTGGCATGGTAATATATGTGTTAATTATATATTCATATTTACTTCATAAAATAATTCTGACTCAACCTCTTACTTTGTTAGCTGTTAATATATGTACATGAAAATTTTAAATGTTAGATTTTCATTTTTAATTTGGGGAGATGTACAATATAGCTATATTAAAGAAAAATTTGAAACTTAGATCACTTACTATCCTTTCATCTTTGTATAAAAACTACATTTCCAAAAAGAATTTATATTTCATTATAACCCATGTTTCCTTATTTCCTAATATAATTATGAAAATAAAGGTTTTATAATTTAAAATATTTTGTTATTTCAGACCATATGGAAGAGACTTTTAAAGTGTGCTATATTGTTTGTTTGAATTTTCAGTGTCTGTTAACCCTTAAAAGTCAAGTGACTATTAAAGACAGTGGTATTGGCTGGGCCCAGTGCAGTAGTGTTTATAACCAGTTACAGATTTCTTTGTTTCTTCTCCACTATCACTGTTTCACTTGACTAGCCTTAAAAAAAAGTACCTATTAAAATAAAATTGAGCAGGTTTTACTCCTCCCCATTAAAACAAACAAAAGTGACTTTAGAGAACTTATTTTTGTTTAAAAGGGGGCTATGTTTTTTTCTAGGTGATTAAGTATCAAATGTTAGAAATACTGCTTTGTCAGTTGTTAATGAGGGGAAAAAAGTAAGCAAAAACTATTTTTAGAAACACCATTTATTAAGCATATTGCATGTGTGAGCACATATTCACAGGTCATAGATATTCTGTGGCAGTTGTAGATGTGCTAATGGCAGCAGAGCAATTTCCCTAGTTGCAATTCTGTCTATTATGAGAACATTATCAGGTAATTGTTGCCTTTTCTTTTTTTTTGAGATGGGGTCTTGCTCTTTTGGCCAGGCTGGAGTTCGGTGGTGCAAATACAGCTCGCTGCACCCTAGACCTCCTGTGCTCAAGCAGTCCCCCAACCCCGGTAGCTGGGACTATGCCCTGCTGATTTTTTTTTAGTTTTTAGTAGGATCGAGATCTTGCTGTGTTTTCTAGCCTGGTCTCAAACTCCTGGGCTTCAAGTGATTCTCGGCCTCCCAAAGTGTGGAGATTACAGGTGGCAGCCAGGCCCAATTGTTGTCTTTTCAGTGTTGCTATGTGTGCTAAAGTGATGTTAATTTTTTTTGCTTCACTAATCTACTTGAATAAAATGTTAGAAAAAAAAGAAAACCTTTATAAACACTTCTAGTAACCATGTTAGAGATTTGACATGCTCTCAAAGAGAGCTTTCTAATCTTCAGTGATTACCAGAAAAAGACATTTTTATAAGGGGATTTTTTTTTTTTAAGTTTAAAGAGTATATAGTTGCAAAATGTTTTAGCAAACTGTAACTTTTGACCAATGTGTTAGCACTTTCAGTATTTTATTTTGCTTTTGGTTATTTTTTTCTTTGAATTGTATTTCACTCTGGTGATCCAACAGCAAGCTTTTCTAGCTCTTTTTTTCTTTCTTTTTCTTTTTTCTTTTTTTTATTTTTGAGATGGAGTCTTACTCTGTCACCTGGGCTGGAGTGCAATGGCACGATCTCGGCTCACTGCAACCTCTGCCTCTCGGGTTTAAGCGATTCTCCTGCCTCAGCCCCCTGAATAGCTGGGATTATGAGCATGTGCCACTATGCCCTGCTAATTTCTAACGTCTCACTTAATATATATGTGATATCTTTGTTTTTGCATATTGGCTTTTGGAGATGTCTTAATTTTTGTTGTAGAAAATCAAATGATCTTATGATATTTTAAAGAAACATTGTGAGCCCTGACCAGTATTTGTAACTGGAATAATCTTCAAAATGCTCCTGTCAGATTTGTATTAGCTATACTGATTTTTTTAGGCTGGTTAGGATCATTTTGAAAGTGCTTGTAATAAATGCCTCTACCTACATAACCTCAATTTTTCTCAGAGTCTAGACAAGCCTTATAAAGATAGACATTAGTTTCCAAACTCAGATCAAATGTAAGTGCTGTCAGACCGCAAGGTCCGTGGATCTGTCGATGTTTATTTTGCCCCTTGCTCTATAGAAAGCTCCATGTGTTGAAATTTGAACTAGTTTTTAGAGTCATCTCAATAAAGATGAATTAGTTGTATCCTGATATGAATGTGTATTATTTTTAGGTTCTTAAATGTAGTTAGTGGCTGCTCATAAAAATCTGAATATTATTTAGGCATTGATTTGTGTGGTGGTGGCTTTGTCTGCACAGCCCTGTATAAAATTACCTCATAATATCTATTTACAGGTTCAGAAACTGACTCTGAGTCTGAAGGTCTCATTGTACTCTTTTTTCTTGAATAAACAGAAGCTACCTATAAAGTGTTGTATATTATTAGGATTTATTGCCTAACACAATTACTCCAGCAGGATAGCCTCTCAAGAAATTCCTGTAAAGATGGCCTTTTTTTTTATAGGATTGTAAAGTGGATTTAAATAGTTTGAAAAAATATATATTCCTAACTGCCATGTAGTTTCTTAATACCAATCTCACATTCTTAACTTTGTATTTCTCATCACTGAGAAGGTGAGGTGGCCTTTGTTACATTTATTCTTTTTTTCTCTTTCAACAGGGGAAAGTGCAGTGTTGCCCTTCTGAATGAGACAGAATCAGTATTGTCATATCTTGATAAAGAGGTAATTCACAATCATACTTGTTTTGTTTTTTTTCCCCTTTATTTCACATGAAGCTCTTTCCTTGGAATTTATTTCTTTTTGTACAAAAGTATTATTCTACCATCATATAAATAGCAGTATTATGGTAAAACTGTAATGACTAGAATGCATTTGGGTAAATGTGATTTTTCTGGTTATCTGAGATAAGGGTTAGCAAAAACTTCTGTGTCTGTTTTTCAGTTGGTAATGAAAGACATTATAGAGAATGGTACATGGATTTAGTTGATAGTGGATGAATATTTTTGACTTTATGAAATTAATGCTTTAGTGTGCTTAGCTCCCCTTTATGTTTTGTTTTTGTTTTTATTTCTTGAATAAATGGTTTTTCTTTTAGACTATTTCCAGATGAGATTTTACCATTGGTGGTCTGCTTTCTGGAATCCTAATAAATGTTGTCAGTTAAAAATATTTTTTACTAAACTTTAACAAGAAATGTAGTTAACAAGTTGAGATAAGGCAGACGCTTCATTGAAAGGAGGAAATTCTTATAAGCAGAATATTTCATGGTATGCATAGTTTTAGGTGACATTTAAAGCAATGTTATTTGTATGGTGGGAAACATATTTTAGTGTCAGTGATGCTTCAGTATTTAATCTTTCTGATTTTTTTCCTCTCCCCCAAAAGCTTTATTACATATGTGTATGTTTTATTTTTTGGAGACAAGAGTCTCGCTCTGTCCCCCAGTCTGGAATGCAGTGATGTGATCTTGGCCCACTGCAACCTCCGCCTCTCAGGTTCAAGCAATTCTTATGCTTCAGCCTCCTAAGTAGCTGGGATCACAGGTGCCTGCTGTCATAGCCGGCTGATTTTTGTGTTTTTGGTAGAGATAGAGTTTTGCCATGTTTGCTAGGCTGGTCTTAAACTCCTGGCCTCAGGTGATCTACCTTCCTCAGCCTCCCAAAGTGCTGGGATCAGAGGCATAAGCCACTGTGCCTGGCCTGTTTTTTTTTTTCTTTTTAAATCTTAAACTCAAATGTTGCTCATTTATTTCAAATGAAGAAAATGTAACAGAAAAAGTTTGATACAATCATGCAGAACCCACTATACATTAGAAAACCTAATAGGAAATAAGAAAACTAACAGGAAAATACATATTCTGAAGGGGTGGCCTGCCCCTCCACACCTGTGGGTGTTTCTCGTAAGGTGGAACGAGAGACTTGAGAAAAGAAATAAGACACAGAGACAAAGTATAGAGAAAGAAAAGCGGGGGCCAGGGACGGCGCTCAGCTTACAGAGACCCACGCCGGCCCCGTCTCTGAGTTCCCTTAGTATTTATTGATAATTATCTTTACCATCTTAAAGACAGGGAGTGGCAGACAATATAAGCAAAGAAAAAAGAGGAATCGGCAGTAAGACATATGAACAAAAACCTCTGTGACATGAATAAATTCAAAGGACAAGGCTGTGCCTGAGATGCATATGCAAAATCTCCATAAACCTTTAGCAGCATAGTTTCAGTCTATCACATGGGGAGAAACCTTAGACAATACCTAGCTTATCTAGGAACAAAGTCACACCCTGCACGCCCAAAATCCATTAAACCTTGAGTTACCACAGCACATGTCTCTTGCAAGGACAAGGTTGGGGGTAGGGTCACAGACTAACAGCATCTCAAACACAGAACAAAATGGAGTCTCTTATGTCTACTTCTTTCTATATAGACACAGTAACAGGCTGATCTCTTTCTTTTCCCCACATTTCCCCCTTTTCTTTTCAACAAAACCACCATTGTCATCATGACACAAAGTAATAGAATATCACAAAGCAAGTGGAGGCAGGATGAGATCACAGGATGGTGTTAAAATTAAAATTTTTGGGCATGCATAGTCATGGATAACATTTTATCAGAAAACAGGGTTTGAGAGCAGACAACCTGTCTGACCAAAATTTACTAGGTGGGAATTCCTCGTCCTAATAAGCCTGGGAGCGCTACAGGAGGCCGGGGCTTATTTCATCCCTTCGGCTTCAACCGTAAAAGGCGGCACGCCTCCAAGGGGGTCGTTTATAGGCCTACCCTCAGAGCGCATTCTCTTTCTCAGGGATGTTCCTTGCTGAGAAAAAGAATTCAGCGATATTTCTCCTATTTGCATAATGAAAAGAGAAGAAATATGGCTCTGTTCCGTCCGGCTCACCGGCGGCCAGTTCAAGGTTGCCTCCCTAGTTCCCTGAACATTGCTGTTATCCTGTTCTTTCTCCAAGATGCCCAGATTTTATATTGTTCAAACACACATGCTCCATAAACAATTTGTGCAGTTTAAGGCAATCATCACAGGGTCCTGAGGTGACATATATCCTCCTCAGTTTACAAAGAAGATGATAGAATTAAGAGATTAAAGTAAAGACAGACATAAGAAATTACAAAAGTATTAATTTTGGAGAACTAATAAATGTCCATGAAATCTTCACATTTTATGTTTTTCTGCTGTGGCTTCAGCCGGTCCCTGCGTTCAAGGTCCCTGACTTCCCGCAATGTTCTCCCTCCCTTTTCCTCTATATAAATGTGCCATGGTGATGAAGGCTTGTTCGTTAGTCAATGGTGCTCGATTGCAGTGTTTCCGTCTCCGTGGAGGCGCTTTTCTTTGCATCTCCGATGGGTTCATTGTAGAACTTCAAATGTCTAGTGGGTATCCAAACAGGAAGCTGATTTTCTCCTGGTGAAACACAAGCAAAACCTCTTCCCCAGGTTATTACCTTCCCTATTTCCCATGTCTTATTTTTGTTGTCTTTCCACCAAATCAGTTTTCTTTCATGTGGACTGTTCTTTTTACCAGTAAGATGTTGTTCTGCAGAAGTAGTAGTCTGATTTCTATAAATGTTTAAAAATTTAAAGTATAGAGTGCTAGATTAAGCTGCATCTGAGGAGTGGTATACTCCTTACTGTCTCCCCCTTTTTTTTGTTTAACTAACTGAGTTTTGAGTGTTCTGTTAGTTCTTTCAACTATGGCCTGTCCTTGGGAATTATAAGGAATTCCTGTTGTATGTGTAATATTCCACTGATTTAAGAATTTTTGGAAAGCTTTACTACAATAACCTGGTCCATTGTCAGTTTTAATTTTTTCTGGAACTCCCATTACAGCAAAACAAGATAATAAATGTTTTTTAACATGGGAAGTACTTTCTCCTGTCTGGCATGTTGCCCATATGAAATGTGAGTAAGTATCAACTGTTACATGAACATATGATAATTTTCCTTGAATAATGGCCTTACACGCAGGTCTGCTCTTAGAGACCTGACTTGCCCAATATGCAGCCTTTCCTGTCTGATCAGTGCTTCCGAACCCTCCTGTTCTTTTTATCTCACTGTTTCCAACTTTAATATAAGGTAGGAGTAATAATTGAGCAATCCTGTCTCCTGGACTGGCACTCCAAGGAACTGAGGAACTAATAACCAATTGAATTTCGCCTTTAAAGTCTGAATCAACCACACCAGTATGAATTTGAACTCCTTTTAGATTTAAACTTGATCTTCCTAAGATTAGTCCTACAGTCCCCTCAGGCAATGGGCTATATACCCCTGTGGGGATTTTTCGAGGAGGCTTCCCTGGAAGCAGAGAGACTGCTTGTATGGCGCATAAATCTACTGCTGCACTGCCGCTTGTGGCGGGGGATAATTGCTGTATTGTGATAACTGGCTTATTCCCTGAGACACTTGTGGCAGTGGGGGTTGTTGTTCCTGAAAACCCTGAGGAACAAAGGGCTGAATTTGGAATGCCCCAGTTTGTTGCGGGGCCTGAGGCTGGCCCCTCCTCTCGTTTCCCGACAGTGGTTGCCCATTTTTATCAAATTTAGAACATTGATCACCCCAATGTTTTCCCTTTTTACATCTTGGACATAGGCCAGGTGGCTTTTTATCTGTTCTTGTAGTAGCTTGAGTAGTTACATTTTGTTTATTTGAGACTAGGCAATTCTTTTTTAGATGACCAATTTGACCACAATTATAACATCTTCCCCCAAATGTTCTAACCTGTCCTCCTAAAGCAACTCCTGTGATTGCTTGAGCCATAAGCATAGCTTTATGCATAGCTCCTCCAATTCCATCGCAGGCCTTAACGTACTCTGAGATTACATCTGATCCTGCGGGAACCTTTCCTTTTAATGGCTTAATGGCTGATTGACAATCAGGATTGGCGTTTTCATATGCCATCAACTCCACTATGACCTTACGGGCATTCTCATCGGTAATTGACTTTTGAGCAGCATCTTGAAGTCTTGCTACAAAATCAGGGTAGGGCTCTTTAGAGCCTTGTCTTATTGTATTAAAGGAGGGGCAGGCGGTTCCTGGGTCTTGGATTTTCTCCCAGGCCCTAAGGCAGATAGCCCTGATTTGCTCAATGGCCTCATTTGGCATTATTACTTGTTGGTCAACAGTGCTCCAATTTTGACCTATTCCTAATAGTTGATCTGCATCTATGTCAATTGGAGGATTGGCAGTCCTATTTTTTCGGACCTGTACTTGTGCCCCATCAATCCACCAAGTCTTAAATTGTAAAAATTGAGAGGGTGAGAGTGAGGATTTTGCCAGAATCTCCCAATCATAAGGAATGAGTCTATGTCCATGAGCAATGGAATCTAATAATGTTCTCATGTAAGGAGAGTTGGGTCCATACTGTTTTACTCCCTCTTTCATTTCTTTTAGCATTTTTATAGAAAAAGACTTATACCTGGCTTCAGCTACGGGAAGCTCTCCCTCTTGGGCCCCTTCTCCAGGTGGTCTTGCTTCTAATATTACTGGGAATTGCCACGCCTCAATATCTCCTTGTTTTCTTGCCTCATCAATAATTTTATGTAACGCACTACCCTGCGTACTAGGCGGTGCTGTAGGATTAAGTCTCATGGTGGGCGGCTGAGGATATGGCACCCTGCCCTGTGGCACTGGAAATGTTCCTGGCTGTCCATACGGATTTTCTGGGGGCTGCTGATACTGTAGTTCGGCTGGCGGCCAGTATTGATAGGCTACTGGCGGCTGGGTCTTATTTTCTACCGGCTGATATTGTGGACACTGTATTTGGATTGGCATTGCCATGACAGAGACTCTATCTTTTTCTATTTGATCTTCTTTTGGAGTTTGTACTTGTTTAACCTGCATTTGAGGTTGTAAAGTTACAGGCATCTGAGCTGCTGGAAGAGGAGTTGGCCATCGTGGTTTAGACTCTGATGGCTCTGCTAATTCTGGATTTTTTTCTTCTAATTTTAACGTTTCAGGATATACTACCTCCTGTAATTGATTATTGTCAACATTTTGCGTTGACCGAGCCATAGCCGGCTCTGATACACATTCACAGTGTGAACTTTCCTTTCCTTTCCAGGATTCTATCCCTGCCTCTTTTTCACAATCTACTGCACAGCTTTTAGGGACATCAGAAATTGGAACGCTATCTTCTTCTGTTTGAAATGGTTCTAAAGCTACTTTAATAATGACCCAATCATTCCATACTGTGAGCGGAATGTTTTTACCTTCCCTACTTGCTTGTTTTAATTCTTTGCCAATTTTTTCCCAATCTTTTAGATCTAAAGTTCCCTGTTCTGGAAACCATGGACAAAACTGCTCTATTGTTTGAAATAGCGTAATTAGATTTTTGGTAGAGACTTTAACTCCCCCTCTTTTTAAGAGAATTTTAATAAAGCTGCGATAAGAGGCATATTTACTCTTAGTTTGCCCCATTGTTACCCTAGGTTCTTCCGAGCGCACAAGCTTACCGCAAGGCTGACTGTAGACGTACTCGGGAGTCTCTCGTCGACTTGTCCTCAGTGACCACGCTCCAGCGTACCTTCACCTTAGAGAAAAGCTTCCACGTTGGGCACCAGATGAAGGGGTGGCCTGCCCCTCCACACCTGTGGGTGTTTCTCAAGGTGGAACGAGAGACTTGAGAAAAGAAATAAGACACAGAGACAAAGTATAGAGAAAGAAAAGCGGGGGCCCAGGGGACCGGCGCTCAGCTTACAGAGGACCCACGCCGGCCCCGGTCTCTGAGTTCCCTTAGTATTTATTGATAATTATCTTTACCATCTTAAAGACAGGGGAGTGGCAGGACAATATAAGCAAAGAAAAAAGAGGAAATCGGCAGTAAGACATATGAACAAAAACCTCTGTGACATGAATAAATTCAAAGGACAAGGCTGTGCCTTGAGATGCATATGCAAACATCTCCATAAACCTTTAGGCAGCATAGTTTCAGTCTATCACATGGGGAGAAACCTTAGACAATACCTAGCTTATCTAGGAACAAAGTCACACCCTGCACGCCCAAAATCCATTAAACCTTGAGTTACCACAGCACATGTCTCTTGCAAGGACAAGGTTGGGGGTAGGGTCACAGACTAACAGCATCTCAAACACAGAACAAAATGGAGTCTCTTATGTCTACTTCTTTCTATATAGACACAGTAACAGGCTGATCTCTTTCTTTTCCCCACAATATTCAAAGCGGAAAAAAGGCTTACAGACTTTATAACTTACCTCTGTAAAATTTAGATGATAGACTTGTCGTTAGTCTGTCCAACAGAATGGATTATAGTATGGATAATGATAGTGCCCAGAAATTAGCATTATTTCACAGAAGCAGAAAGAAAAAGGCAAAACATTCAATGCATTTCATTGTATTAAATTTTTTTTTTTGGCCGGACGCGGAGGCTCACACATGTAATCCCAGCACTTTGGGAGGCCGAGGCAGGCAGATCATGAGAGCAGGAGTTTGAGACCAGCCTGACCAACATGGTGAAACCCTGTCTCTACTAAAAATACAAAAATTAGCCAGGCCATACAAAAATTAACCGGGCGTGGTGACACATGCCTGGAATCCCAGCACTTTGAGAGGCCAAGGCGGGTGGATCATTTGAGGTCAGGAGTTCAAGACCAGCCTGGCCAACACGGCAAAACCCCGTCTCTACTAAACATACAAAAATTAGTCAGGAGGTAGTGGCACATTCCTGTAATCCCAGCTACTCGCAAGGCTGAGGCAAGAGAATTGCTTGAGCCTGGGATGTGGAAGTTGCGGTGAGCCGAGATCGCGCTACTGCACCTCCAGTCTGGGTGACAGAGTGAGACCCTATATAAAAAAAAATAAAAAATAGACATTGGAGAAGGGTGAGGATTGAAAAATTACCTATTGGGTACAATGTTCACTATTGATGGGTACAGTAAAAGCCCAGACTTTACCATGACACAATGTATGCATATAAGAACTCTGTACTTTTACCCCCTAAATATATAAACTCTTAAAATATTGAGATTGGCATAGTTGAAGATGGTAACCCAAAGAATAACTTTATCATCCTTTACTTTTAACTCTGTGTTCTTGAAATTGGCCTGTCTGGAACCGTTTCTTCTTTTTTTTTTTTTTTTTACAACTTCTATTATAAACCAAACATATTTTGAATATTTTCCCATATCAGGACATACAAATCTAAGGATTTTAAGCAACTTATATGACCCAAATAATCATTTCATCTTATTATATTGTAGAGTATGGCAAGCTCTTGTTTTTATTGGAGTAGCATGCTAATAGGTTTTACAGATAACAAGTGACCTGAAGTATCTCTGCTTTTATTTATTTATTTATTTTTGAGACGGAGTTTTGCTCTTGTTGCCTAGGCCGGAGTGCAATGGTGCAATCTCCGGCTCACCACAACCTTCGCCTCCCAGGTTCAAGCCGTTCTCCTGCCTCAGCCTCCCGAGTAGCTGGGATTACAGGCATGTGCCACCAAACCCGTCTAATTTTGTATTTTTAGTAGAGATGGGGTTTCTCCATGTTGGTCAGGGTGGTCTTGAACTCCCAACCTCAGGTCATCTGCCCGCCTTAGCCTCCTAAAGTGCTGGGTTTACAGGTGTGAGCCACCACGCCCGGCATATCTCTGCTTTTAAATCTGATGGTGGCTGCGTGTGGGGGCTCATGTCTGTGATCCCAGCACTTGGGGAGGCTGAGGCAGGAGGATTGCTTGAGCCCAGGAGTTTGAGACCAGCCTGGACAACATAGTGAGTGCTCATCTCTATTAATGAAATAGAAAAAAAAAATCTGATGGTGAGCCAGTGGCAATAACTTCAGTTACTGAGTAATATTTATTACTCATGTCTTTAAAGCGAAACAAAAAATAAAACACTTCTGATTACATAGTGATCATCCCCTGTAGCTTTGTTAAGTTTTTTTTTTGTTGTTGTTGTTTTTTGAGACGAAGTCTCACTCTCGTCCCCCAGGCTGGAGTGCAATGGTGTAATCTCGGCTCTCTGCAACCTCTGCCTCCTGTGTTCAAGCGATTCTCCTGCCTCAGCCTCCTAAGTAGCTGGGATTACAGGTGCCTGCCACCATGCCCAGCTAATTTTTCTATTTTTAGTAGAGACAGGGTTTCACCATGTTGGCCAGGCTAGTCTTGAACTCCTGACCTCAGGTGATCTGCCTTCCTCAGCCTCCCAAAGTGCTGGGATTATAGGCATGAGCCACCGCGCCTGGCCTAAGCTGGTTGTTTTATCTATTCCTGCAGATTTTTTCTTTTCCTTAGATAGCACTTTAACAATATGCATAAATTGTCACGTATTGGTGTCCCCCCCCCCTTTTTTTTTTTAACAGTTTTTTTGTTTAAATCTTTTTTCCTGACAGTGAGCAATGAATAAAATACAGCACAGAATTTCTCAGTGGATGGAATAACTCTGTTTTTTTCCCTTTCCCCTTATCACAGTATGTAAGAGGTCCCACAGGAGAGACTTTTACTGTCTGACAGATTATCTTTTATTTGCAGTTTCCTTGGCTGGGGCTTGGTAAATTTCTGGTAGTAGGGACAGGTCCTTCCAGGATATAATACAGAGAATTGGGCAGCAGATGATCTTTGGGATCGTAGTGGGAAGCAGAAGACGGGACTTTGCTGGTTCAGATAATCTCTAGTGGTTATATGGAATTCAGCAAAGGACTGGTGCCAGGTCATTTTGCCCATTAGGCTCAGAAACAAGGACATATGAGCTTTGTAAGGGAGGACCGGAAATTTTGGTGTGTATGCTGCTGGTGAGCATGTATATAGCTATGTTTGTATATCTATCTATATATACATACACATGCCTCAGTACTTAAAGAACTGCAGAATTATAGTTAATACATGTTTAATTAAATATTTACAAAGTGATATTATTATAACAGTAAACCACACACAAGTTCAACTCCTGTATAGTTTAATGTGAGATATGTATACCTTTTAATCTTTTGACTAAAAATTGGGATGGATATTACAAAAGAGTACCTGGTATCTGTGAAGTCTTCCCTTCTGTTTGGTGTGGACTTCAGAAGTTTATAAGATGATTTGACTTTAGGTGTCTTACCTTGGAGTTATGGTTTAATTTTGCTAGCTTTTGAAACTCTGCTTTAGAGAGCAAATGGTTTTCTTTTAGACTAAAACAAATAATAGAACTTTATAATCTACTTTGTTTCAAGCTGTTTCTTTTGGCTCGATTTAATTTTGTACTGTTTTACATGATGACAGTAACACCATGCTCTCCTTAAAGATTTATGAGTTTATTCACCAAAATGAAATTTTATATACTCTCTGGGATTTATGTGTTCATTATAGTGACATTGATTTTAATGCTTTATAAAAAGTAGAAGGAATTAAGTATACCTACATATTTTGTCATATTTTTCAGGATACCTTCTTCTACTCATTGGTCTATGACCCCTCATTGAAAACGCTATTAGCTGACAAAGGTGAAATCAGAGTGGGACCTAGATATCAGGCAGACATTCCAGAAATGCTGTTAGAAGGTATGTTTTTCTGCATGTTTGCAGTTCTGTGAAACAAATGTATCTTGAAACTCAAATATACATGTCCTCATGTAGAAGAAGCAATGTTCAGGGCAAAGTCTAAAAGTTATAAGCACTTGCAATTTTACTGTTCTTTGTGAAAAATAATGAATAAATAAATAGAGATGAGGCCTTTCTATGTTGCCCAGGCTGGTCTTGATCTCCTGGCCTCAAACAATCCTCCCACCTCGGCCTCTCAAAAGGGATGCTATTATAGGTGTGGCCTGGCCAGCACTTCCAATTTTAGAAGCACAAAATTAGCTCATTTTAATGTACTTTGTTTTTGCTATGCTTCATATATATCTAGCTTTTTAAAAAACTGAAGGTTTGTGGCAACCCTGTTGAGCAAGTCCTTTGGTGCCATTTTTCCAACAGGACAGTGTCTCTGTGTCAAATTTTGGTAATTCTTGCAACATTTCAAACCTTTTCATTATTATCTATTATGGTGATCTGTGATCAATGATCTTTGATGTAACTGTTGTAATTGTTTTGGGGCCATGAACTGTATCCATATGAGAGGACAAACTGAACTGATAAATGCTGTGTATTCTGAGTGCTCCACCAACTGTCCCTTCCCTGCCTCTTTCTCTCTCCTGGGGTCTCCCTATTTTATGAGTCACAGCAATATTGAACTTAAGCCAGTTAACAACCCTGCAGTGGCCTGTAAGTGTTCAAGTGAAAGGAAGAGTAGCATATCTCTCACTTTAAATCAAAAGCAAGAAATGAAGCTAGTGAGGAAGGCGTGTCAGAAGCCAAGACAGGCCAAAAGCCAGGCCTCTTCCCCCAGTTAGTCAAGTTGTGAATGCAAAGGAAAAGTTCTTGAAGGAAATTAAAAGTGCTACTCCACACTCCAGCCTGGGCGACAGAGCAAGACTCTGTCTCAAAAAAAAAAAAAACAACAAAAAAGCTCCACCAGTGAACACATGAATGATAAGAAAGCAAAACAGGCTGGGCGCAGTGGCTCGCGCCTTTAATCCCAGCACTTTGGGATGCCGCAGCAGGTGGATTACTTGGGACCAGGAGTTCGAGACCAGCCTGGCCAACATGGTGAAACACCGTCTCTACTAAAAATACAAAAACTAGCCAAGTGTGATGGTGTGTGCCTGTATTCCCAACTACTCGGGAGGCTGAGGCAGGAGAATCCCTTGAACCTGGGAGGCAGAGGTTGGAGTGAGCCAAGATTGTGCCACTGCACTCCAGCTTGGGCAACAGAGTGAGACTTTCTCTAAAAACGAAAACAGGCTGGGCGTGGTGGCTCAAGCCTGTAATCCCAGCACTTTGGGAGGCCGAGACGGGCGGATCACGAGGTCAGGAGATTGAGACCATCCTGGCTAACACGGTGAAACCCCGTCTCTACTAAAAATACAAAAAACTAGCCGGGCGAGGTGGCGGGTGCCTGTAGTCCCAGCTACTCGGGAGGCTGAGGCAGGAGAGTGGCGTAAACCGGGAGGCGGAGCCACTGTACTCCAGCCTGGGCGGCAGAGCGAGACTCCGTCTCAAAAAAAAAAAAAAAAAAGGAAAAAAAAGAAAACAATAGCCTTACTGCTTTCCTGCTGATACCGTGGAGAAAGTCTTAGTGGCCTAGATAGAAGATCAAATCACCAACAACATTCCTTTAAGCCAAAGCCTCATCCAGAGCAGGGCCCTAACTCTCTTCAATTTTGTGAAGACTGAGAGGTGAGGAAGCTGGAAAAAATTCTTCACCATAACATAAAAGTGCAAGTAAAGCAGCAAGTGCTGATGTAGAAGCTGCAGCAAGTTATCCAAGTCTAGCTAAGATTACTGATGAAGACTGCTACGTTAAACAACAGATTTTCAATGTAGGTAAGACAGCTTTCTATTGGAAGAAGATGCCATCTAGGACTTTCATAGCTAGAAGCTCCAAGGGACAGGCTGACTCTCTCATTAGTGACGAATGCAGCTAGTAACTTGAAGCCAGTCTTCATTTACCATTCCAAAAATCCCAGACCCCTTAAGCATTATGCTAAATCTGCTCTGCCTGTGCTCCGTAAATAGAACAACAAAGCCTAAATGACAGCACCTCTGTTTACAGCATGGTTTAGTGAATATTTTAAGCTCGCTGTTGAGACCTACTGCTTAGGAAAAAGGATTCCTTTCAAAAACTGCTCATTGATAATGCTCCTCATCATCCAAGAGCTCTGATGGGGATGTACAAGGAGGTGCATATTGTTTACATGACTGCTGACACAACATCCATTCTGGAACCTATGGATCAAGGAGACATTTTGACTTTCACATTTTATTATTAAGAAATAACATCACCTAAGGCTATACTTCCCATAGATAATGATTCCTCTGATGGATCTGAGTAGGCAATCGAAAACCTTCTGGAAAGTATTCTCCATTCTAGATGCCAGTAACAATTGTAATTGATAGGAGGAGGTCAAAATATAAACATTAATAGGAGTTTAGAAGAAGTTGATTCCAACAGTCGTGGATAACTTTGAAGGGTTTACAACTTCAGTGGCAGAAGTAACTGCAAATATGTTGGATATAATATGCAAGAAAACTACAATGAGAGTGGGCCCTGAAGATATGACTGACTGAATTGCTGCAATCTCATGGTAAAACTTGGATGGGTGAGTAGTTGATTCTTATGGATGAGCAAAGAAAGTGGATTCTTGAGATGGAATCTATTCCGGGTGAAGATGCTGTGAACACTGTTGAGATGGCAATGAAGGATTTGGAATATGATATAAACTTAGTTGGCAAAGCAGTGGCAGGGTTTGAGAGGGTTGTCCCTGTTTTTGAAAGAAGTCTACTGGCCGGCGCGGTGGCTCACGCCTGTAATCCCAGCACTTTGGGAGGCGGAGGCGGGCGAATCATGAGGTCAGGAGATCGAGACCATCCTGGCTAACATGGTGAAACCCTGTCTCTACTAAAAATACAAAGTTAGCTGGGCGTGGTGGTGGGTGCTTGTAGTCCCAGCTACTGGGGAGGCTGAGGCAGGAGAATGGTGTGGAACTCGGGAGGCAGAGGTTGCAGTGAGCCAGATCACGCCACTGCACTCCATCCTGGGCGACAGAGTGAGACTCAAAAGAAGGAAGTCTACTGTAGGTAAAATCCTATCGAGCATCACATGCTACAGAGAAAAACCTTTTTTGAGACAGAGTCTCACTCTGTCGCCCAGGCTGAAGTACAGTGGCACAATCTTGACTCACTGCAGCTTCTGCCTCCTGGGTTCAAATGATTCTTGTGCCTCAACCTCTCGAGTAACTGGGATTACAGGCATGTGCCACCACGCCCGGCTTTTTTTGTATTTTTAGTAGAGATGGGGTTTTGCCATGTTGGCCAGGCTGGTCTTGAACTCCTGACTTCAAACCATCTGTCCACCTTGGCCACCCAAAGTGCTAGGATTACAGGTGTGAGCCATTCCCCCACCCCACCTGCCTCCCACCCAGCCCCCCACTGCTAGCAATCTTGGAATGTTTTAACCAGAAACAAGGAATGCCTTTCCCTTTCTTCAAGGCTACTTCTGGGTATTTATTTTTACATTTTATAACTTGGTAGTTTTCTTTGTTAAGTATTCATCTCTAACAAAAACAACAGATTTATAGATTTTATTGAAAAATACCATATTTTTCACCATAAATGTAGAAGCCATTTTGGACTCTTATTTCAGCCTGAAGCTTTAAAGCATATCCAGAATGTTTCTTTTCACTTGTAATCAGGCAACTGAGTAGATGCAAGGTTTAAAGAACCCTTCTTTTTTTTTTGGAAATGGAGTTTCGCTCTTGTTGCCCGGTCTGGAGTGCAGTGGCGTGATCTTGGCTCACTGCAACCTCTGCCTCTCAGGTTCAAGCGATTCTCCTGCGTCAGCCTCCTGAGTAGCTGGGATTACCTGTGCCCGCCACCACACACCCAGCTAATTTTTGTATTTTTAGCAGAGACAGGGTTTCGTCATGTTGGCCAGGCTGGTCTCGAACTCCTGACCTCAGGTGATCCACCAGCCTCAGCCTCCCAAGGTGCTGGGATTACAGGCATGAGCCTCTGCGCCTGGCCACCCTTCTTTTTTCTAATGACTGTATTTTTGGGGGAGAAGGAGTGGGGATACCAATAGGTATACCAGTAATTAACCACACTTGAAATGGTCATTGCCATCACAGAAACTTCCATCTGTAGCTAGTACCTGATTGCAGGGAAGTTAAATAGTAGGACATATCATATTCAAGAACAGATGTTTAGGATTTGCTGGAATCCATTCTTCCTAACCCTTTTAGTACTCCTGAGTGGGTACATTTCCACCAGTGGCCAGATTCTAATTTGCATTGGCATGGAATGTAGAACTGGAATTAATATCTTGGGTAGGTGGCAGCAGCAGCACTCTGCCAGGATATGTTACAGGCTTGCTTTCTTTGTGAACATGTCTTGATGGATACTAAGAGATTGTTGTGGCATTAGCCTTGCTAGGGAATAAATCTTTTTGTGGCTTTTCGATTTTTAAATTCATTTATGGCTACCCATCACCTAACAAACTCTAGAGATCTGAAAAGAAGAGTATGAAGTTTACAAATGAAAGTAAAGGCGTCTTTTAGCTTTTACGTCTTTCACTGAGTTTGAATAAATCACCTAGAAAATTTTCCATAAAAGAGATGAGAAGTTTTGAGTCATTATTTAAATGTATTATAACATTGGAGTTTTAAGAAAAAATTTGTTTTACATATTAAATTTAAATTTCAACTGTTAAAGTATGTTATAACAACATTAAATTATTAAATGAAAATGACTCTAGGTTCACAAGTTTGGGTAAATCCTGACTAGACTGTGTTTTAATTGAGTAACCTTGGGGAAATGATTAACCCCTCCAAGTTCCCGTTTCTCTTTAAACAGGGAATGATAGCGTAGGTAGTACATTCTATCATTGTGATGAGCAAATGAGGTAATTCTTGTCATGCAGTTAGCACATGCCCAGCTGTTACAGTCCTCTCCCCTGGCCTCTA